ATAATGAAGTAATAATTTAAAATAAAAATTATTTAATTAAAAACTCATACTATGACTATGTTCAAAATCCTTCAACTCATTTGTATTTTTTTTTGATAGCAAGAAAAACTTCATTCATAAGAAATCAAATGTGCAATACAACTTGGTGGTGTACGGCTCCATGAGACCATATGGGATGTAGCACACCTTGCAAGGGTATGGGCAATACAATTACGATTCCTACGAATAAAATGAAAATTAATAGATGTAAACGATGATAATAAATCAGCACATTCGTCAAGGATGGAGCCTAAATAAGAGTAGCACTCAAAGGCCTTTCCTTTCTTGATAACCCCCACCAAAACTTCACAATCAGAAAAAATCTCAACGTCACAGATACCTCGAGTCCTCAACCAAGCCAACGTTTCAACTCATTTGTATTAATTTGAGACGTAAGGGTATATTTAGAGCTAGCATTTGTTAATTTTGAATCTTTGTGGTATGAGATGCGGCCCATCCTAATGTAACCCCACCCAAGTGAAACGAAATGGCCCATTCTAATTCGTAAACAATTTGGCCATCCCCAGAGAGGAAGCACAATATCTCCTTCTCAAAGGCCTTTAATACGACAAAAGAGGTGCGGGCCATGGCCCATGGAAGTTAATTAGGGTCAACTCCTTTTATTTTATATAGGGTAGTCGGCGCATGGGGTCAATGTTATATTAATAATACTCCTTCCGTCCAACAATAATGTTCTGATTTATTATTTACTAAACTTTATTTATTTTGTTGACGTACTTTTGTTACTCATTTGATAAAATAGTATATTCGTGTCATCTTTAGTTGTGCAGATCTTTTCATGTAATTTTTATTTATTTATTTCATATGATTTGTATATAAAATAATTTAAAAAGAATTTTAACCAAACATCGTAGCGCGCAATGAGAATATTATTGTTGGTCGGATGGAGTATTTACAAAGGGTGTTGTTGCTATATCTATCTGTATAATGATTACATTAAATCGATACTTGTACCCTTAAAACTACAAGACGTGTATTAATTAAAACGTTAGCCAATTTTTTAATAATGCATTTGTCTATTTTACATAAATAAAGTGAATTTAGCTATTATGAGAGAGGATATAGCCTCTACCTCTTAAAAATGAGAAGATTATGAAAATTTATAGTTAAAATTTATTTGAAATACACTGAATGAATGATATCTACATATAAATTGAGTATTTGTTTAGGGTGTACGTTTCCATAAAAATAAAATTGGGAATTATAAAATTGATTTTTACACATGCCAAAAAAGAAAGTATAAAATATTTCAAAGACATATGAATTATATAATGGACCTCAAAAATAAATAAAAAAAACTACGTAATTAAGAATAAAACATTGAAGTTAAACCCAAACTAAGATTTTTATGTTTCATTTGTACTATGATAATATAGTATTGTATATAATTGAATTTCCAGTACTCCATAATATTTTTTGATATTATATGTTGGCATTATTCGTATTATAGTCATAATTTTACTTTGAGGATAAAAAGATAAAGGTCTTATTTTGTACTCCTTGCTATATTTTTGTAAAGGTATCCTTGTTATGTTTTAGTTTTTTAGTTTTATTTCGATCTTTTTTTCTCAAGTTTATTACTCCGTATATTAGGTATATTGCATTGTGACAATGTTTGCTACTTGATATTGTGTGCTAGCAAAAGTCTTATTTTAATATAAAAACACACAAGGAGTATGTTAATTAGTTTATTCTCTCGCTAAATGATGAGAGAATAAGATGACAAAATAAGGGCAAATAATAATACGGAGTACTAGTCATCTTTTTATTTAGTTTAATTTTTTTTACAATCAAATTAATTAGATCAACATTCACCATTGGTTAATTAAATGAAAATTCTAATACAAATTTTTAGTTTATATGTGTTGAGTGTTACTTCAAAGTCCCACATCGGTGGGATAGGAAAATTGAGAAGGTATTGGAGCCTATAAATAGAGAGGGTGTATAGGCTTCCAACACACAACACAATCCTTCAATCTATATAATTGTGTATTAGATTTTAGGTTGTGAGTGTCAAATATTGGAGAGGGTTTGTAATTTTTCCGTGCAAAAATTACTAGTGAGATTTTATCCCAGAGGGGGTCGTGGAGTAGGTCTTGAGGTGCCGAACCACGTTAAATATTTTGTGTGCTCTTTTTCTTTCCTTTCCATTTGTTTGCAGTAGGGGGCCTAACAATATGTATATACTCCGTATATATTTAAATTGCTTACTTCAACAATAAGATAAATAGAGAATACTTGTTTGTTAATTAGAATATATAATGAT